TTCTGGATGCCTTTTGTGTTCTTTGCTTTTTGCTCCTTGCTTTTCAATTTTTTTATAATACACAAAAAGCTTGAAGTTAAAAAAAAGTGATTTTAAAAACTTGCATGGAGTCCCCATTGCCTGTGAATAAAGTTAACTTGCTGACAACTTTAAAAAAAAAAAAAAAAAAAAATTTTCTTTTTGACTCAATAGCAACAATGTTCAACAAGGATGAAGTGATAGAAGACTGAAATAACTAATAAAAATTAAGCTTATTAATTATATTAACAAAATGCCATGCACATAGCTTAGTTGATTAGATAGTATATGTTGGTAGTCAAATTGGAGGAAATAATCATGAAATATTACTTCATGAATTATAATCATGAAAATAATCTAAGAACACAAACCCAAGTTATTATTGATTGACCAAAATACAGTAAAGAAGTACCATTGTACTTCCAACTAAACATTGAATTTTAGTGTAGGTCAAATGGAGAGATAGTCAATAGAAGCTTAATTGGTGGTACTGGCATATATAGGGATATTTTAAAAGGAAAATTATGTTTTAAATATTATCAAAATAAAATATTGTTTAAAATAGTCCTTTCATAAAGTTCCATGAGTGAAAGGGAAATTATGTATATATATGTGTGTGTGTGTGTGTGTGTGTGTGTGTGTGTGAAAGGGAAATTATGTATGTGTGCATATGTGGATTATATATATATATATATATTATATTACAGATTGAAAGAAATATTTACCATTAATATATAAATATTTACAATGAGATTACTAGGGTTTGGAACCACCCCGTACAGTAATCATGGTTGCCTCCATTGTGGGAGGGCCGTACCTGTGAAACCCCAGTTGTAGAGAGGTAATGGGTGCTGCTTCACCTTTTGTATAAAGCAAAGACATTAGCAAGAGTGAGGCAACTTTTCAGAAGTGGATAATAGAAAAACAAGACTGAACAACACTCATCTTGATAAAGCAACATCCCAATCTAAAGGAAAATATTGAAGAGGGCAAAAATTGACCTAATCAGAAACCTTCCTCTTGGCTCAGTACTAGGTACAGTGGCTTGCTAACGCCCACCTTGACTTGCAGGGGTGATGGGAGGGTAAATGACATGGGGATGGTGACAAGGTACTGTACTGGGTGTCTGGTGATACCAGCCCTAGAAATGCCATTGCCTTGCTGGTTCTTCCTACTGTAGAACCATTTTACCCTTGCTCCTGTGGCAACCAATTTGGACCATTTTGTTACCACTCCCTCTGGTAGTGTCAGGAAATGCAATCCCTTTCCTTCCGACTGACACCATGAAGGTAAAAAATTGGAAAGCAAAAATAATAAATAATTCACAGAGGATGTAATTAAATGTTTTATTTCACAAAGTAGGGAAGGAAAGCTATATAAAAATAATGGTTCAACAAGTATCAGTGTCAAATATCAAGGTAAGATCAGGTAAATAAAAATCCAGAAGCTTTTATCTAAATTGACTGTATGGAAATCACTAATGACTTTGTGACTATGTCCTGACCACCATTAAGAAAAGACCTTGAGTTCTAAAAATGATCATTAGCTAAGACCAAGGAATGCTAATTAAAAAGCACAGCAATCTGAGGTTATGTAATTAGAAGACAACTGGAACCTATCAAGTAGATTAGGCCATTTTAATTAGGATACTTGCTTAACCTTTAAAGGGCCATACTCATTTCTCATCTTAGAAACATTTTTGTTTTAAGGAATGCAAACTCATCAGAACATTAATAATTATTATTATTATTAAAACTGCTTTAACAAGAGTTGGGCCCTCTTGTAAGTAAGCAAAATAAAATTTAAAGAATTTTTTACTTTAAAGTATTCTGTTGCATGGCAATGAGATCACCTTGTCGTGGTTGTTTGCCACACCCATTGCTGAGAGTATAAAAGCATTCTGGGAAGCAAGAGATACTCATACTAAGAAAACTCATCTTCAGTATCTAACCAATATCTAATTCCTAACACCATGAGCTACTACGGCAGCTACTATGGAGGCCTGGGCTACGGCCTGGGAGGCTTCGGTGGTCTGGGATACGGCTGTGGCCATGGCAGCTTCAACAGACTGGGCTATGGCTGCGGACACAGAGGCTACGGATACGGCCCCTTCTTTGGAGGCTACAGATATGGCTGCTTCCGCCCATCTTGCTATGGAGGATATGGATTCTCTGGCTTGTACTAAAAAGCTTACTGATTCTCAGATTGTATCTCCATGCTTTCACCCATATAGTCCAATGATGTAAAGAAAATATTTAAAATTTATTGTCATGAAGCTCCAAATAGAATATTCTCTACCAGTTTTCATTTTCTCTGCAAGGATCTGTATTCTTTAAGTTGTATTATAGTTTCACTCATTATCATTTTCTCATTAATACCTATTGTAACAATATTTTAAAAATTTTTAATAAATATGTTTAACTGGCAATGAAAATTTGGCTGCATTTCTATCAATTTATTCAAGGAGTTTCAAATGGCTACATGATATTTCAACCAGCGTGTTAGTCTTCTTTCTTCTGACTTGGGGATCTAGAGGTAGTGCAAAGGAGTATTCAACTATTGATAGAAAGATCAGCACTTTGAGCCTACCCAGAGACACCTTAAAAGAAAGTACTGCAATAATCTTTCAAAACATCACCACCTTGAAGCCCAGTTTTACTCGGAAGCATGTGGAGTTGCCATCAATCCAAACTGTATCTACAGTAGCAAGTTTAGTGCATTTTCTGTTCTTTCATTTTACTTCTATTTGTGTGTTTTTTTATTCGCCTATTAGATTAGGAATCTTTCTTCTGAATTTGCATATTGACCAGAAAAATGAATTTGATTTAACAAATAATTATTGAATGTGTTTATATGCTGGACATTGTGCTAAATGCAGAGGATATGAGACAAATCTGGACAACATCTCTGCCTAATTTCATGTATGTTATAATTTGCTTTCAATGGTCTCTGTGTTTGAGTTTGTTTTAGTAAAATAATCCTAGATGCAATTTTAATAACTTTTCCTGAAAAAAAATTATATGAAGTTTTTTGCTTATAGACAATAACTTTAAGGCAATCATAGGAAATTAATTTAAATAGTGAATACTGTATATACATGCATATGCATATATACTATATATGTTGAATACGGTATATATTTTAAAATACTGTAATATATATAAAAGTATTATAATAATCCCATGTGACCCATATAAGGTTTCCAAACTTCTAAAGTTCTTTATCTAAACAGGCCAATTTTCAATATATCTTTTGAAAATATTGAGAATTTTCTGTACCTTCTTACAAATTAATCCCTTGATTGTTTTCCTGTTTTCCCAAGTGCAGATCTTGCTTCCTAAAGGCACTTGTTCTCAAAAGTAAGTCTGAAGACTGTCCGAATTAAGAACACTTGGAATTTATGTACCAATTTTGGTTGCTGGGGTGTTATCCTAAACATAGAAAGAAGCACAAAGAGGCCATAGAACCGAGTGCTGTAGTTAGACGCCGTCAACTAGGCTCCAACACCTGGGGCCTTTAGGCACTGGAACACCGTCGTAATGCATGTTGCTATGTTTAGGCACGCTGCTGCAGCCCCTGCAGTAATCCGTGGCATGGTGGGCATCCCTTTTTTCATGGATTCTCTTCATTACAGCACCTTCTCCAGTGACTGGTCCCTTTCAAAGATGTGTTCAAAGTAAGTGAGACAAAATTTTATATTCTTCTAAGGAAAATGCTGGTGTACCTCTGCTCATATAATTTGTTTTCTGTAGTTTTGTTTTAGGTCTCTACATATTTGACTAGCCAAAATATCCTTAACAATTACTGTCTGGCATGGTTCCAATCATCTCTTCAATGTCTTATATTATGGCAACAGATAATATTTCTTTCTCCTTTTTACCCTTCTCCAGTTTACACTGGGTGGTAGCTTTCAGGTGTGTACACCTTGCTGGGGATGCTAAAAAAGAACAAAATTTTCTATACCTGGAAGAAGATTTGTGAGGTATTTTACTGTATTGAGAAGGACATCAAAAGTTAAATAAAGATCATGTTCTCCTAAATATTTTATGTCATGTTTGTTTTAAATTGTAGTGGCACTGTTCAGCTTACATGATGACCTGGTTTCTGGGGTAGGTGTTCACCTTTTCTGTACTATGATTATCCAGTTAACTTTTTGAGGCATCTGCCTGATATGCTGTTGCTTGGAAAATGTGGTTCCAGGACAACCTGCAAATCTTTTGCTATCAAAAAAGTTAACTTATAGGATTGAAAGGATAACCAGTAATAGAAATTGTTGTTCCCATTCAGGTTTCCTGTTACCATGTTTTCTTTGACAAGTGGATAAAGATAAAGAAACCAAATTGTTGGAAAATAAATACATACTTTTTCTGAATCTTTAAAGCCTGAAGAATTCATTTTTCCCTTAATCAATAGTGAAGTGCATTAAATTGTTGTGAAATACAATTAACCCCTTTTATTTATAAACTGCACTTACAAAATAAAGAAAATAAAACATTTGACTAAGCAGCATTTATATTTTTAAGTTTGCATTTATAAAATTCAGAAAATAAAATGTTTTCAACACAATGCATGTGGCAGCTGATAGGACCTGCTGGTGATAGGCATGTGAAACGGTTTTCAGTTTATTGATTTCTTTGTACGATGCTCTTTTGCAGACGTCTGTCATACAGGAACATGTAGTGGCACACACGGGAGGGACAGGTCTGAAAGGCTCGGAAACATAACCGAACATCTTGAGGGGATGAGTTGTTGGGGCTGGAGGCTCAGGACCATGTTCTTGGGGGGCATTAAGATCCACAAATATGATGTTCTACAGCTTACATGGCTAAAAACTGACTGGTGTCTCCGAAGTTCATGAGCAGCCTTCTAACTCACAACTATAGGTCTCTCCCTCTGACAGAGGAATGAAGAGTGATGGAAATTGGAAAACATATGGGAAAAATGTCCAATGAACATATGAGAAACATGATAAATCTCCACGTCGACAAAAGCAGAACTAGATGTTGTCTGGCTACAGCTACCAACTACTATCCAAATGATTGCATTAGAAGGCATTAGATGGTCCTAGCTGGAGTGGGAGAAAGGGGTGGAACAAATATCAGAATCATGAGAGACCAGGCTTACTGCTCAGATGGAGGCCGATGTAACTCCCCAGACTAGTTTAGTATGGATTATTTTTAAGAGAACTTGAAACATTAATTAGTGAATGTCAAAGATTGCAACCTTAATTAATGATTAAACTTCAATGCAAAGAAAAGAAAAATCCTCACAAATGAATGAATAAGCAACATGTTAATAAAAGGGGAAAGGATTGAAATCATTAAGTATTTCATTTACTTGACTCCACAACCAACACTCATGGGAGCAGCTGTCAAAAAATCAAGTGACATATTTTGTGGGAAAAGTCTGTTATAAAGACTTATTTTGAAGGGGGAACCCATCTTGATGATTGACACATAACCCCCCTGGGGGGGTGAGAACAGAAACTATTAGGGTAAGATATGAAAATAATAATTTATAATTTATCAAGGGATCTTGAGGAGGCAGTGGTAGAGGAGCTGACACCAAGGGCTCAATAGAAAATACATGTCTAGAAAATAATGATGGTAACATTGGTACAAATGTGCTTGATACAATTGATATATGGATTAGTACAAGAAGTATAAGAATCATCAATAAATTTTTTTAAAGACTTCTTTTAAGTGCTGAAGCATAAAGATATCACATTAAGGATCTGATCCAAGTCATAATACTTTCAATTTCCTAATATGCATATGAAAGCTGTACAGTGAATAAGAAAAACTGGAGAAGAATTGATGTTTTTGGATTGTGGTGTTGCTGAAGAATATTGGATATACCATAAGCTGTCAGAATAATGAACAAATATATATTGGAACAGGAATAGCCAGAATATTACGTAGACACGGGGATGGCAAGACTTTCACTCACGTATCTGGGTTATCCTTTCCTGAAAAAGGACATCATGCCTGTAACATGGAGGGTCGAAGACAAAGTCCTTCAATGGCATGCATTCATATAGTGACTGTGACAAAGGGCTCAAATATGACAACAAATATGAGTGTGATACGGACTCAATTCTGTAGTATATAAGGAAGCAATGAGTAGAAACGAACTCGATGGCACTTAACAACTTACTTTCTTCACTCATATCAAAAACTTATATTTTTAGAAACTCACCCATGTTCACACATCTTGTGATGATAGACCCAGAAAAAAAAAAGTTTTCCTTATTCCAAATACTAAGTTTCCAAACAATGTGCTCTAACCTCTTCCATATTCATTCCAAGATTTAAATTAAAGCACACACACACACACACAATTTCTGGTAAGTGGACGTTTAACTCTGTATTCAGAAAGATAATGAGAACAAAAGACAGAAAATTTGATATGATGAAAGGAGAGGGAGATTGCATGTAAAATTTAATAAAGTTACATTAAACATAGACTTTGAATAATTAATAGTAATTACCTTTTATTAAAACTGTCTTGCCATAAGAAGTGCAAATGAGACAAATACATAAATGAAATTTCCACCGGGAATATTTAAACTTTTTTACAGATCAAAAGTATAATTGGAGTATTTTGCATATTTGTAGAATAAAATAAAAATAGTGAATATCTATGAAGGGGAAAATAGCCACCTAAAGAGAGTACTAAAGTCTAGATACTGATGAAGGTGTTAACCTGACCTTATACATCTTTAATTCCTGAGACATTGAGCTACTAAAATAGCAACTATGTGGTAGGCCTTGGCATCACTCAATCTGCACCTCACTAGTTTTGCTACATTATTGCTATGCCACTGTCTTCCTTAATACTTCTGATTTCTGCAGATATTTTCTAATACAGTTTTATCAACAGATCTGCAAAACTTGACTTAATTTATTTTCATTCAATTCTTGAGTTCATATGCTTTTAAATAATTATTTTGCAAGTATTAATATTTTCCTCATGGATATATTTCCTTGATTCTAATGTTTTTTGTGGAAATGAAGCTCAGAAGAGTCTGAAGTACAGACCTGGTTTGTTGCTGTAGTTTTACTCAGATAACGTTTCCGTTGTACAACACTCAAATCGAGGGAGCCCTGGTGGCTAAGCTGTGGGCTGGTGACCTAGAAGCTGGTGGATTGAAACCACCAGCCCATCTAAGAGAGAAAAACACAG